GTTGCAGTGAAGTTCTACTTGAATCCTCTAGCAGTGCAATCCTACCTGAGTCCTCTGATAGTGCAATCCTATTTGAATCCTCTGGTAGTGCGGTCATACTTTATTCGTCAGATAGTACAGTCCTACTTTAATCCTCTGATAGTGCAGTTCTGCTTTAAACTAGTAGTATGGTCCTACTTTAATCCTCTGGAAGTGTGGCCCTACTTTAATCCTCTGGCTGTGTGGTTCCACGTTAATCCGCATTAATCTGATAGTGCTGTCCTACTTTCATTTCCTGGTAGAGTGGTGCTACTTTAAATCTCTGGTAGACTGGTACTACTTTAATCCTCTGGTAGTGTGGCCCTCTTTAATTCGTGCAGTGCAGTCTTACTCTAGTTTGGTCCTACTTGAATTCTGTTGAAGTGTAGTCCTACTTGAATCCTTTAGTAGTGCAATCCTACTTGAGTCCTCTTATAGTGCAGTCCTATTTGAATCCTCTGGTAGTGTGGTCCTACTTTAAACCTCAAGTAGTGCGGTCATACTTTATTCGTCAGATAGTACAGTCCTACTTTGATCCTCTGATAGTGCAGTTCTGCTTTAAACTAGTAGTATGGTCCAACTTCAATCCTTTGGTAGTGTGGTCCTACTTTAATCCTCTGGCAGTGCAATCCTACTTGAGTCCTCTGAACTGCACTACCAGAGGATCAAAGTAGGACTGCACTACTGAGGTCTAAAGTAGGACCACCCTACCAGAAGAGTTAAGTAGGACTACACTAGAAGACTAATGCAGGATTGCATTACTAGAGGATTCAAGTAGGACAACTAGAGTAAGACTGCACTGCAAGGATGAAAGCAGGCTACACTACCAGAGGATTAAAGTAGAACCACACTACCAAAGGATTAAAGTAGGCCCAAAGGACTAAAGTAGGAAAGCACCACCAGAGGATTACCGTGGAACCACACTACCAGAGGATTAAAGTAGGAATGCACTACTAGAGGATTCAAGTAGGATTGCACTTCAACAGGATGGAAGTAGGACCCCACTACCAAGAGAATTAGTCAGACTAAACCACTAAAGGATAAAAGTAGGACTGAACTATCAGTGGAACTACAAGCAAAGCTTTTTTTTTTTTCATTTTGGAAAGTGTAAGGGAGTGTTAAATCCCCTATCATTTTTGTTTTCTGCTGTTTGGAGATTTCTCTTCAATTCTTGTCTCATGGCTAAACCAAAAGTGAGAGGAAATCCCTTCATAATGAGGCGATACCTGGTTGTCACCAAAACTAGTGTCTTTCACTTCTACTCTTGTTGATAAGTTTAAACAGGACAAATAAAGGATGAATCTTCCTAATGGGGGCACATACAGTTAAAAAAACCTGACAGATGCTCTAATCTTTCTCCACTCTATACAAACCTAAAAAGAGTTTGCCTTAAGTTATAGTTTAAGTCGTACAACACTACCAGAGGACTCAGATAAGACCTCACTTTAAGAGGATTAAGGTAGGAGTGCACCTACAGGGAATTTAAGTAGGACTATATGACCAGTTGATTAAACAAGGATCCCACTAGCAGCAGATTCAAGTACCAGTAGATACAGAGGATTCAAATAGAACCACACTACTAGAGGACTGAAGTAGGAAGGCACTACCAGAGGTCTGAAGCACGACCGCACTACCAGAGGTCTGAAGTACGACCCTACTACCAGAGAACTGAAGTAGGACCGCACTACCAGAGGACTGAAGTAGAACCTACTACCAGAGAACCCTACTACCAGAGCACTAAAGCATGACCAAATTACCAGAGGCTTGAAGTAGGACCAAATTACCAGAAGATTCAAATAGGACTGCACTACCAGAGGATTGAAGTAGGACCATACTACCAGAGGATTGAAGTAGTACCATAGAACCAGAGGACTGAAGAGGAATGAAGTAGGACTACGCTAACAGAGGATTCAAGCAGGGCCTAACTTCAAGAGAATTAAGGTAGGACTGCACTACCAGAGTATTAATGTAGGACTATACTACCAGAGAAACAAAGACTGAACTGTCAGAAGATTAAACTAAGACTGCACTATCAGAGACCCCATCATAATGCTATATGGCTTCCACATATATTTAAAGCATGCAAGACCTCAGTATTAATCATTATTTTACAAGTCAGAGGTAAATGTAGTTACTTTTCCTAGTAGACAATAAATAGGAGGGATAGAATTTCATTTCTGAAACCAGATGAAATACTGAGTGATAACGATATTTGGGGCTATGTGAGGTACTGCCAGAAATATATTCATCAAATTGAAAAGGTCCTGAAATAAAATGTCATCAGATATAAAATGCCCCCGCGGGTTATTTAGATACCATTGACACAGTAGTTACATTTAAACATATTTATAGTAAATATAAACCCAATCAGCAAAACCTTTTTAGAAAAGCTTCAAAGCTCTTTCCAATCTTTATAAAGCTGCTCCTTTCATTAAAATAATCCCTGGTGATCCCGCCCTGAAGGTACTTGTCCCTGTCTCCCAACTGTGCTTACTGCGTTGTCACTCAGATGCAGCACACATTACATAGGCATTGTCCCCTGCTGTCACTGTCAGGAAACCCACCCTGAGAAATGCACACATGACCATCGCTGGAGCTCATGTAGAAAGGCAATTGTTTATGACACTGTACATAGAACAAATTAAACGTCATCCATAACGTTTACATCTACTTTAGTTTTTTTTTTATTTTCATGTGTATTTTAAATCATTTTAAAGAATTTCAAACATAACTGCTCAATGACATAATAATAATTTGGCAGCTCTGTGATGCCATACCTGGGGGTAAAAATTCCAGCTCTATATACACAAAACTTATTTCACACGATTCTGAGGGCAGCAGTCTGATAACTAATCAATATTGTTACACAATCGTCCATTTATTATTTTATGACCTGCCCGGAGTAAAACCTTATCAAGGGAAATCATAGTGTAAACATTATCCTGGGTTTTGTCCTAGATGCAAACCTATAAAACACTATATATAAAATGTATAATATATTATGTAATATATGTAAAAATGTTGTCCCGGGTGCATACTGAGTAAAAAGCTCGCCCTGCACCATGTTTACTTTTATACTTGGGGGAGTGTTGATGTTGCAGAGCAATACAAAAAACAATCTCATTGGAGATGTCAACTGACATGATGATATTGGCAGGAAAATATCTCTGGTAAATCCCTCTGAGCCCAAATGGTCTACCTGATCAACAAATGGGAAAGTCTCCCTCCTCCGCTTCAGGTGGCGTGCGGTCCTCCAGCTCATCCTGAACGGTGTACGTGTACGATTCAGCCCTCTGGACTCATGGATTTAGACGAAGACGTCTTCCAGGTTGGCAGCACTTTTCCCTGCTGCCGGCTTCCAGATTTAATGAGGAGCAGAAGGACTTCAAACAGAGCGCAAGGTACCGACGCCAGCGAATCTCCGGTGATTCAGCCGCAGCATTGAAGTAGGTGGACAGCACAGGAAGTATTTAATCTTAAAATAACGGTTGCTTAGGAACGAAAGGGTAAAGTGCACTACCTCCGTCCTGAAGAGCAGCAGACGGCCTCTTCTCCCTCTCAATTATATTAAATGGATCATGGGCCACAATGAGCGATTGTTTCACCCTTTGCAGACGGTGGATGACCGAACGTTGCTTCTCCCCGGCTGCTCCTCTGAGTTCATTCTGCGCCCCTTCGAGAGCATTGGCTGCCGATACCTGGCAACAGCTGATAATTTAATACGGAGGTAATTAAAAGTTTATGATATGGAAATTCAGGAAGGCAAAGATTTCAGCTCCCAGAATCGGTTTCCGATGACAGAAAGAAAAGATTTTTTATTATTAAAGCATATCTAATGGCATCCAGGAATTTGTCATTTAACGGCGGGAGTACAGTGTGTACAGATCAATGGACAACCGGGCATTGTGATTGATGTGGATCACTTCATTGGTTGCTGTGGTTTACACTGGATGTACTTCTGAGGGTTTTAAAGTATAACTAAAGGCAAAACCTTTCTTTTCTTTAGTTTTGGATAGAGTGGAGAAGGATTAGAATGCTTTTCGGTTTTTATTGCTGTCTGTGTCCCCATTAAGAAGATTCACCCTCTCTATTTGTCCTATTTACCATGATCACTGAGAGTGAAAGAAAACCCCAAATTTTGGGTTGTCCCCAGAGAAGTAATAGAAGGAAAATCTTCATTGAGGGCACTAATTTTGGTGGCCTGGGGGTCCCAAAGGCATTACCTTAATTTACAGGGATGTCCTCTCACTTCTTGTTTGACTATTGTACAGGAAGATGACACAGATGGTGGACACAGAGGTGAAAAAAAATTTGACAGGGGTTGTAGCCTCCATTGTTCTATCCAAATGCAAAAAAAAAATCCAAATCCAATAAAAAAGTTTTGCTTATAGTTCTACTTTAAACTTTACTTTACAATACAGGAAGTATGTGTTTTGTGTTTTGTTTAACCACTTGCCTACCGGGCACTTATACCCCCTTCTTTACCAGGCCAATTTTCAGCTTTCAGTGCTGTCGCAATTTGATTGACAATTGCACGGTCATGCAACATTGTACCCATATGAAATTTTTATCATTTTTTTCTCACAAATAGAGCTTTCTTTTGGTGGTATTTAATCGCCACTGGGTGCTTTACTTTTTGTACTATAAACAAAAAAATTGCAAAAAATTTGAAAAAAAAAAAACATTTTCTTTGTTTCTATTATAAAATTTTTCAAACAGGTAATTTTTCTCCTTAACTGATCTGCGTTGATGAGGCGGCACTGATAGGCAATACTGATGGGCACTGATAGGCAGCACTGAAGGGCACTGATAGGCGGCACTGATAGGCAGCACTAATGAGGTGGCACGGATAGGCGGCACTGATAGGCGGCACTGATAAGCAGCACTGATGATGGGTACTGATAGACAGCACTGATAGGTGGCACTGACTGGCATCACTGCTGGGCACTGACTGGCGGCACTGCTAGGCATTGACTGGCACAACTGCTAGGCACTGACTGGCACAACCGCTGGGCACTGACTGGCAGCACTGCATTGATGGGCACTGGTGGGTGGCACAGGTGGGTGGCACTGGTGGGTGGCACAGGTGGGTGGCACTGGTGGGCACAGGTGGGTGGGCACAGGTGGGTGGCACTGCTGTGCACAGGTAGGTGGCACTGCTGGGCACAGGTGGGTGCACTGCTGGGCACAGGTGGCCGGAACTGGTGGGTGGCACTGCTGGGCACTGATCATCAGGGCACTGATGATCAGTGCCCTGATGATCGGTACCGATCCCTGCTCTGACAACTGCCGGTTCTTGGCAGTACTTTCCCTCGTGCTCTGACAGCGTGAGGAAAGTGCAGCCGAGAACTGGCAATTGCATTTTCCGGTGATCAGCATGTCATTGGACTTGGTAGTAAATTGCACTTTGACTAAAAGTTTCCCCTGGCAAGGTAATATCATAATGTGCTAGTATGATTTGCATACTAGCATATTATGAAGGACTTACCTTAAATTGAAGCCCTCCAGTGGCGCGCTGCCACCACTCCAGAGGCTTCCATATTCACCCAGTCTTCTGGGTTCGCAAGCTCCGGCCACCTGACTGGCCGAGCTGTGATGACGTCAATCACGCGAATGTGTGTGGGAGTTCTGGGCCACAGCACAGTGCTCTGAAGGTAAAAGCTTACCTGTAGGTAATAATAAAAATCCAGAGTTTACTACCACTTTAAAGTTATTTTAAAGGTAGAAAGTCTATTATGTATTCTATGCATGAAGGTAAAAAAAACCTTCTGTGTGCAAATCCCCCATCCCCAGCCTCCCCTTATACTTACCTGATCTCAATCCAGTGCTGTGCACTAGGGCAGAAGCTCTCTCTGCTCTCATCCTCATCATTGGTTTAGAGACAGATGAAGGATCCATTGGTTCTCACTGCTGTCAATCAGAGCTGGTGTGGAGGGAGCGGGGGGTGGGGCCATGCCTGTGTGTGTCAACAAGGAGCCAGCACAGGAGCGAGACTGCACCAGTGCACTTATAGCAAGTGGCTTGCTATGGGGACACTCGGCGGGGAGGAGAAGCCAGGAGCACCAATTGGGAACCTGAGAAGAAGAGGATTGGGGCTGCTCTGTGCAAAACCATTGCACAGAGCAGTTGAGTATAACATGTTTGTTATTTTCTAAAAAAAAATAGAATGTGATCCTTTACAAACACTTTAACCAGTTGTAGATACTGGTGTGTTACACCCAGTATCTACAAATAACTTCATTGGAATACACAGGGTGTATGTAGTATGTCCTGCCCTTTATCCCCCCTTGCACTTATTATTTTATTATTTATTTCAGGTACTTGTATAGCGCCGTCAATTTACGCAGCGCTTTACATATATATTGTACATTCACATCAGTCACGTGACAGCAATTCCAGACTGTAAATATAGTTGTTGTATAATTTCAGCATATATTAAGATCCTTGCACACAGTACTGATGTATGAACACTGGATCTTTCTGGCAGAAAGTTTCTTCCAAAAAAAAATGTAAGTCTAGTGTGTACGTGTTTACATGCGTATGTGTGCATAAAAAATTCTTCTAGCTCTCAGAATGCCAAATATTCAAATGACATAATCTACTATTCAAGGGGGAGAGGTGTGATTTATGCATGTAAAATACTGACCAGTAACACAGACTTTTATATTTATTTTCAGATCGCTAGATTGAAAACACAGCTGGCCATAGGAGTGAATGGGTGTGTACAGATATACTTGGGTTACACTCACATGTGCTTATGACGTATTCTATGAATGCAGAAATTGAGTGCTGGGGAAATACGTCATACATGTGTGCACATGACAACTGAAATACAGCCAGTGTACAGTCATTTATGCCACAGCAGATTTGCACCTCAAACCGCCCATGTGAATGAAGCCAGAGAGAAATAAAAAGTAACACTGTTACTTGTGTATTCATTCTGTTTCATTCACCTGCAGATCAAAGGGATGAGTTTCAATCTGCATATGATGTCAGTTAAAGCAACCTTATTAGAAAAACAAAAAAAAATTTAAAAAAAATGTTCTATTTAGCACCTTATTAACCCATAGATTTCCCCAATCACCCTAACTAACTCCTTCTTTTCCATCGCCCTTTTACTATTTTCCTGACAATTATTTAATAGTTCTATTTTTCTAACCATTATATTTAAACTTGTTTCCATTTTGTTTGCCAATTTTTAAAAAAATGTGAAACTGAAAAAAACTTAACAATTCTTTGTACCAGAGTCATATTTTATAGTATCATTTTAAACAGGACAATTTATAGAATAAAATATATTCTTTTTATCTACAGTAACACTATTTTTTTTAATCTAACATTGGTCAAAGTAGAAAAAATAGTTTTTTTTTGTTGAACAGATGGGTTGGATTTGCCCAGAACAGCTCCTCCCCTTATAATTTTGGTTGCAGATAGAAGGGAGGCAGTATTTATTCTGGCAGTAGATTTGAATACATAGTTTTTAGGTTATGATAAGAAGATGTACAGCGATTTACAGTTTTCTGTCATTTTTCCAAATGCCACTTTAAAATAATTTGAAAAAAATATTCCTCCAAAAATGTCATGTACGAGGTGAGTACTGAGATGTACTGTATATATTTATATAGCAGAGGGCTAAATCCCACATTCAAACTTTACAATGGGGTTGTTTTTCTTCTTTGCTGTAAATCACAACACTCAGAGGATTCATTATGGGTACTTTTTATCTAATTCAGCTTTCACACCTGTACACCTACTATGGAATCAGAGCAGTTTTTACATTTTGGATATGGGCCTGTTTATTCAGCAGTAACCTACCTAAGATAGATAAGATAAGTAAAACATATATGATTTTTTTGAGACAGAAAAGATTCTTTTGGGGATTTTTGTCTTTTGTCTTGTAAAAATTATTCTATTTATTGTACACAAGGTATATGCAAAAACTGTAACAAAATTAAAAAAATATATACTTAAACCTGAAGAAAAAGAGGACCTATTATCAGATACAGCTAGGTCCAAATATATTTGGACACAGGCACAATTTTCATACTTTGGCTCTGTATGCCACCAAAATAAGTTAAAATTAAACAATCCAAATGAATTTGAAGTGTAGAGTTTCAGCTTTAAGTCAAGGGGGTTGAACATAAATATCAAGTACAAATTTTAGGAACTCAACCATTTTTATATACAGTCCCTCCATTTTCAGGGGCTCAAATGTAATTGGACAAATGAATATAATCAGAAATAAAATGTTAATTTGTAATATTTTGTTGAGAATCCTTTACTGGCAATGACTGTCTGAAGTCTGGAACCCATGGACATTACCAAAGACTGGGTTTCCTCCTTTCTGATGCTTTGCAGGCCTTAACTACAGCAGTCTTTAGTTGTTCTTTGTTTGTGGGTTTTTCTGCCATTAGTTTTGCCTTCAGCAAGTGAAATGCATGCTCAATTAGGTTGAGATCAGGTGATTGACTCGACCATTGCAGAATATTCCACTTCTTTTCCTTCAGAAGCTCCTGGGTTGCTTTTGCAGAGTGTTTTGGATCATTGTCCATCTGTACTGTGAAGCGCCGTCCAATCAACTTTGCTGCATTTGGCAAAATCTGGGCTGACAGTATATCTGTAAACACTGCAGAATTCATCCGGCTGCTTCTGTCTTCTGTCACATCATCAAAAAACAGCAATGACCCAGTGCCACTGGAAGCCATGCATGCCCATGACATCACACTGCCTCCACCATGTTTTACAGATGACATTGTGTGCTTTGGATCATGAGCTGTTCCAAGCTTTCTCCACACTTTTTTCTTCCCGTCATTCTGGTACAGATTAATCTTAGTTTCATCCGTCCAAAGAATGCTTTTCCAGAACTGGTCTGGCTTTTTTAGATATTTTTTTGGCAAAGTCTAATCTGGCTTTGCTATTCTTCAGGCTTATGAATGGTTTGCACCTTGTGGTGAACCCTCTGTATTTGCTCTTGTGAAGTCTTCTCTTGATTGAAGACTTTGACAATGATACACCCACCTCCTGGAGAGTGTCCTTCACTTGTCTGGATGATGTGAATGGGTTTTTCTTTACCATAGAGAGGATCCTGAGATCATCCCCCACTGTTGTTTTCCATGGACGTCCATGCCTTTTTTTTTGTCCTTGCCTTTTTATGTTGCTGAGCTCACCAGTGCGTTCTTCTTTCCTCAGAATATATCAAACTGTTGATCTGGCACTCCTAATGTTGCTGCTATCTCTCTGATGGATTTGTTTCATTTTCTAAGCCTTACAATAGCCTGTATCACTTGCATGGCCAGCTCCTTTGAAAGAATGATGTAGGTTCACAGAAATAGATTCCAAATGCAAATGCCGCACTTAGAATCAACTCCAGACCTTTTACCTGCTTAATTGGCGAATAAATAACAAAGGAGTAGCCCACACCAGGCCATGAAACAGCTTTTGATTCAATTGTCCACTACTTTTAAGAGCTGTAATTCCTAAACCCTTCATCCAATTTGGATGTACATACCCTCAAATTAAAAACCTGAGAGTGTGCACTTACAGTCCATATTCATTATATAACTATAGCTTGAATATGTTTTGGTAAATACCTGAAAAAATCTAAAATTGTGCCTGTGTCCAAGTATACAGTCATGGCCGAAATTGTTGGCACCCTTGATATTTCTCCAGGAAATCATGTATTTCTCACGAAACGTATTGCATTAACACATGTTTTGCTATACACATGTTTATTCCCTTTGTGTGTATTGGGACAAAACAAAAAAAGGGAGGAAAGAAAGCAAATTCGACATAATGTCACACAAACCTCCAAAAATGGGCTGGACAAAAGTATTGGCACCCTTTCACAACTGCGGATAAATAAGAATGTTACAAGCATGTGATGCTCCTGTAAACTCACCTGGGGCAAGTAACAGGTGTGGGCAATATAGAAATCACACCTGAAAGCAGATAAAAAGGAGAGACGTTCACTTAACCTTTGCATTGTGTGTCTGTCTGTGCCACACTAAGCATGGACAACAGAAAGAGGAGACGAGAACTGTCTGAGGACCTGAGAACCAAAATTGTGGCAAAATATCAACAATCTCAAGGTTACAAGTCCATCTCCAGAGAACTAGATTTGCCTTTGTCCACAGTGCGCAACATTATCAAGAAGTTTGCAACCCATGGCACTGTAGCTAATCTCCCTGGTCGTGGACGGATGAGGAAAATTGATGAAAGATTGCAACGCAGAATAGTCCGGATGGTGGATAAGCAGCCCCAAACATGTTCCAAAGACATTCAAGCTGTCCTGCAGGCTCAGGGAGCATCAGTGTCAGCGCGAACTATCCGTCGACATTTAAATGAAATGAAACGCTATGGCAGG